GACAGAGGGTGGAAACCAGTATTATTTGAACACGGGAAGGAGTAAAACCCTACCAGGACATCTGTACTGAGTAAACCATTGGAAACTGCTCATGTGTGAATAAACACAGTAACCATTTAATTATTTCAATTCCTGATGAGCCTAGATTTGTTTACAAAAAACGAAGGACCATTTTCCTTAGTGACATATTACAGTAGATATATTAAAAAAGCTAATTGCACTTGGGAGTGAAAGATAAATTGACATGCTCTTAAATACATACATTTATTTTTCTTTCCTGTTCTCTAATGAGTTCATAATTTAACTGGAGAAACTGCTAGATTCCCTCCAAATACTAGTGAAAATCTCAAAGGAGAACAAGCTGCTTATGCAAGTGTTCTTGTAAAACAAAGAGTATTCAAGTATGGTAAATAAATACTAGAAACCAGAATGGTATTCAGTTGTCTCCTTAAAAGCCTATTTATCTTCATATTGATGGTCTGGTTCTGAGCTGAACATTAATGAAAACATTTTCTATTATAAATACAACTAAAGCACTTCTATACATTACAACTTCCCTAGGGCAAAGTTCTGCTTTTGGGTTAAATTATAGTGGGATATTACTACAGTGTTGTCAAGTGTGTGCCAGAGTAACAAAGATTTAATCCAATTAATCCAGCTGTAGAATGGATCTGCAGAATAAACCAGAGGTGAAACATGGTATAACCCAGTCTTGACGGTGTGACTGTCTGCTGCAGGCTGCAGTGCGAACTCCCAACTCAGGGCGGCAGATCAGCTCTTTTAAGTGGAAGGGCACTCACCTACCCCAAGCACACTGCAGCAATACTGAGTGGTTCAGGGTCATATCTGGAAGGAGGGGCAGGCTGACTAAAAAACTCCCAACCCCCTAAGTAGCAGATATGATTTCCATCAGAGTAATTTATTCAGATGCTGAGATGGATTTAAATTTAGAAGAGATAATGTGTAATGTTGAGAGCAAGAAACTGTTAAAACTGAGGATACTTTTCACTTGCATACTGTGAGTTAGAGGTTTCTATTGCTGCTGGAACTGCAACCGTAGCTGAGACAGGGTCAGAAAACCCTGGGGCTTAAATACAGAAGCTTCAAGGCGAGAAGCGTATAAAAATAAATTCAAAAGGGCTTAATAACATTGCACAGAGGCTGGATATTCTGGTGTCAGAAGGAAACTGGTGGCTCTTAGATCAAAACCTAATCACCCCAAAGCAATAAGATCCTTTGTTTTAGCCAGCTAGTCATTCCATCACCCACTGGGGTAATGCTTTTTTACTAGCATCCTGAATTACAGTTAATTTACAGTGTATAAATGTACACATCACTGACAATTTAACAGTTAAATATAAAATACTTTGGAATGAACATGGTTAAACCTTTAGTAGCCTGATCCAAAATTTGCTAGGAACCTTTTGCTTGACTTCAAAGGAATTATTATCAACATTTGAGTGAAATTCTACCACAAAAAAATGTTAAAAAAGGGAGCTGTGCCTCACATCTTACTGCCAGAACTGTCCTTCACATGGAACTGAAGACATGCAGAGCCCACAGACAGTTCAGGCCACCTCTGCAGGCAGTGAAGTGAGAGAAACGTTCCTGAGGTCACCACACAAGGCATCCTCTGATTTGCTGCAGCAAGGCCAGACAAGGGGGGAAATGTCTGCTCTTTCTTAGTTTCCCATCCCAGAAGACTTTATTTATGCATTAGTCGACCTTTCTAGCCGTTAGGACCATCTTGCTTCAGCAGTTAATTAACACAAGTGCCATAATTTAATACAGTTAATGCTACTTGATGCCCTTTAATGTACCTTCCATTAGTGATATTATTGTAGTATTACCCTGTAAATTAAAATGAGATCAAGACTAAGAGAGGCTCTCTTTAATTAAGGTACTGGCACACTACGTTGTCCATTATTCACTAGAAAAAAATCTCCCTGATTTAGCAAAGCCAGACCATCGGTAAGTCAGAATTAGCTCATGTGGATTATTAAGTTTCTTGAATGATGTGAGAACAATGGGGTTGCTGAAATTGCTAACAGCCACGTTTCCTTTTTTTCATCATCTTAATAAATACACAATGGAAGTGGTAAATTGAAGATGAATAAACTGGTGGTAATAGAGGAGGTAAGGCATTTATCGAGAGTACACATCTCTAATGCAACATACATCAGGCTTATTTCCCACCAAAATGCAAAACAATGACAAAACCAACCCTATATGAAGTGAGCAAATCTCCTATCTATAACTCATTTTGAAGTATTAACCACTTCAGCATCTTATATATATCAAATATGGTGGCTTTAAGATAGATGCTCTTCACTATCATTGGTTCTTAAAATACAGTGTGAAACAAATTACATTTTATGCTGCCTTTAGAAATGTGCTATTATGAGCTTCAGTGATTTTTCACTATATTTAACCTAAAGGTTATTTTTTTCAGTTAAAGGACTAGCTTTAAAACGTGTCTGCTAACATCACTCAACTACCACATGTCAAGCTCCTTGGTAATGGCCCTTTGTATCTCATCCTCATGGAATAGTCTAGTCTAGTTTTACTAAATGTATATAAATATCTAGGTCTGAAGCCCGGAATATGAAACATTGCAGAAAAAAAAAAAAAAAAGTAACTAACTTTCCAGTTAACATCCTAAATTAAGGTGCAAAGGCTGAAAAGCTCAGCTGAATCAGAAACAGCAGCAGAAAACCCCTAGTAACCCTTGCTCACCTCCATCATGTTCCCATGCACAGGGAATGCCAGGGCACATGACTATAATGCTGATTTGGAGGCTCTTGGCGAGGGGACCCATAAGATTTCCTGTAGGAGACCAAACATACCTAAAACCAGGTGACATATTGCAAGTTACACTTGGTGCAACTAAATAATCAGGGGTTGTGTACTGCAGCCCCACAGCTACTTAGCAGTAAGCAAGCCCATAAAAACTTTGACAAGGAGGACTCACTACATATTGGAGGAAAGGCCACCAAATCCCTAAAGAGCTGTTCTTCTCATTAGCAGACGAGTGATAAGAATTCACATGAATCTAATCTAGTGAGATACTATTACACATCAGATATTTCTTTTAAAGCACGTGTCCAATTACTGCAGCATTAGGACAACAAGCGTCAGCATCAGATAAGTTCTCTGTACAGTCAGGCTTCATTTCTATAGATAATTTTTCACAAGACTCCCATGCCCCAGATGTGCTCAGAAGGTTTCTGTTTCTAATTTGCATGCAATGTACTCTTTTTTAATCCTTCAGATGCTTTCTTTGATAAAGTACTGATAGTCTAATTGAAGTCAGACTAAGCTCCAAATGGGTTTTCAGATGGGGAGCAGCTTTTCCTTAAAATGTAAGGAGCTTCCAATCCTAAGCCTTGATATGATGTCTCTGTAGAGCTAACCTATGTGGAGCTCAATGGAGAAAGAATACACATTAAATAGAATATATGTATTATTTTTTATCTACTGAGGTTAATTTTACCAAAGTATTTCAAACAGTATCTTAAGCTGCCTATGATCCACTTAACCCTCCCAAGAGACTTCTGAAAAATAACTTACAGTGTAACTAATGAGAATTACAATTGTTAAAACAGCAACATTTGTCTTATATTTCACATGTGCAGTTAGTGATTCTGTATGTATGCATACATATTTGACGTGGACACAGAAGATTGTAACTACATGCTAAATCTATGGTCCTAAGAAATGTATTTGGATGTCATATAAAAATACGTTGGCACTGCAAAAGTGCTTATGTATTCAAATCTGTATGTGGCATCAATTCTTCCTTTATATGAAGTTAAAGAATACTTTTCAATTGATTACATCACTGTAATTTTATTCTATTTTGATTTTATGTATCAATTTTTGCAATATGGAAATGCTTATGAACATGAAAGCTTGTATAAAAGAGGTAAAAAATGGCAAACTCACTATAGCAGTAATAAAAATATAGTCACCAGTGTTTTATATAATCACTCTCTCTCCTTTTTTTTTTTTTATTTTACTCAGTCCTGTGTCTGCAAAAAATGCCCTGGGCTTCCAATATACATTGGCTTTTCTGTTCATTTTGATACTTAGCTTCTTTTTTTTTTTTTTTTTTTTTTAAAAAAAAAAAAAAGGATGATTTGAACTCTCTATAGAAGAAATGGAGAAGGAAAAGGTACATTACAGAGGTGAGTGAATTGCTAATAGAGAAGGTCCCATTTATTTCTTCTGAACAAATTGGCATCCAAGACATGTAAAGGGTATCACCCTTGTGCTTGAGGTCATCAGTCAATTGCTAGTTTGAGTTGGGAAGAGAATTTCCCAACAGAAATGTCACTGCACAGTTATTATTTTTGGAACTACGGCACCTGATAACAGTCACTGCTTGCTCTAGAGGGACTATTTGTCTTGAACCTAGCTGAATAATCATCTTTGTTATATTCAAATCAGTCTCTCTAAAACACTCTTGTTTTTTCCTGTTTTACTTCAGCTTCACTGCATTTCAGAGCTAATTAAAGTACAAGGACTGGACTCTCTGCTGCCTTCCTTGTTCACAGGCAGTTCATAGCCAGACCTAATGGGAAGGGTCTGTGCAAGGGCTGCTGTATCCATCACAGATTACATTAAAGGCCTGATAAAGTCAAACAATAAAACAGAATCTCTCTTTTTATTTAACTGCCATCAGATCAGGCTCCAACTATATAAAAGCAGAAAATGTCCTAATGCCAGGGTACATTCCTGAGCCAATATAAGAAACTGTTAATACTATCCTGCTTGTAGAGCTAGGGCTCATGATCCCAGGCTAGGACAACAAATACCTGGTACTTTGCGCCACTGACTCTAAAACTTCTAGTATGACCAGGAATAGACTTCAGCCACGCCAGCTTTCCAAAGAACATGTCTCAGTGGAAAATGTCATTGTGTTTGGGGAAATAAACAGTTTTGAGTAACTTCTAGAACCAAACACACATGCCTGTTTCTAATGGTATATATTCTCTTACCTTCCATATACCCTTATGTCTGAAATTGCATAAAAGTAGCGTGCCAGGTGCTGCTCATCTACATATATTTCTCCAGTTGCTGGCCTAAGCAGTCTTATCCTCAGATCTGTGATGGTAAAGAAATCTCTTAACTTCTTGGTTGTGTCAAGCTGGCCATAAAGAGAAGCCATGTTATGAAGCCGAGGTCCAGCAAAAAAAGCAAATCTATCTTTGATTTCAAAGTGGATTATTTTACTATTTGTCATGTACCCAGTAGAGTATTCCTCTGTGCAAATGATTTCTAGGACTGTGTGCTGTGATAAATCCCTCACTGATTTTGGATCCATGTGGAAAGCATCTAAGCAGTCCGTGGCATAGTACTGGTAGGGCTGCCATGTTCGTCCATAGTCGAGTGACTTCTCCAGGATCATTTGGTCTGGACGGCCAGATTCAAAAGTGATAACTATGTTATCTGTAAGCTCAATGGTTTTGTTCCAGGAGAGTGTAATATTAACATGAAGGGGCTTTGGATAATCCTTCCAAGTCGTGGACTGCCAAAATGTGGAGGGATGTCTTCCTTCAAGATCGAACATCAGTTCTGGAGGATGAGCCAGTTCTTGGGTATTCGCATCACATTCATTATTGCACATGTAGGGATTCCCCTGGAAAAGAGCAAAGCAGTGTTACAAGAGGCATGGTGTAGGTGACTGTGACACATAAAGATGTTTCTTGTCTGGCACACGAGAACTTCTGCTTTTTCTCCAGGAGGGAAACCAAGAAAGAAAAAACAAATGCTCGTGAAGAAATACCTTTATCTTAACGAGATTTATCCTGGCCATTTTACCCGTTGAAGTAAACATACAAAGACACACATATACAGCACCCTTGCTATATATGAACATGCACATAAACATTTTTCTTAGTATGTTTTAGAGAAAGAAAAGAGCTTATTTATCCTGAACAACTTGGACCAGTGATCGAGTCACAAAAGGCTGAGAGCAGTAAGCAAGTCTCTAATAGCTCAGTAACAACTCCAACTCTTCCTAGAAAGATGCAGCAGCTGAAGAGAATTTCTTTTTACAACAAGTGTGTTCCTCAAGAGCTCTGCTCACAAAAGTAATTTTAGGGCAAATGTTTTGAGGTCAGGAGTGCAGCTAATATGTACTTCGTATGAACCAGTACTCAGTACACCTTCAAGTTTCCTTTCACCTGAGTGTGAAATTTATCATGCTTAACTGTGCTCCCAGTTTAGCACCAGCTTGCCCTAAAACATTTACACTCGCCACCAAAAGCCATTGCAAAAACAGTGTTCTGCCATCTCTAGGGCTTGACTCAGACATCTGCCATCTTATTACAGGGTAGTGAAGTACTTCAGGAAAGACTTTTCACAAGACACTGGCTCCAATTTATCAGGACAAGATAATCCGGCACTTGATTAGGTGGGAGGTGTCAGCAGCTCCAGCTGGAATGCTGCCGAGGTGGCTGGAGCTCTGAACTGGGGGTTGAGTTAAAAACAGTAACAAAAAAAGCTTGCCAATAGTGCACAGCTTTTAGTGCTGCTTGTCCTCTGTAGCAAGGTGAAAGTAAATTATTCTCTTCCTGGCCTTTTGATGCATTAACTTGCACACTACAATCTTCTGCTTCTGCACAAAGGCTATTTTGTCTGCAGATTGGGGATATCTTGCAGCAGTTGCCAAGATATGAGACCCCGTGGGCTGCACTGAATCACGTCTATCTAATTTCAGCTTTCAACAGTACATTAATATTTTGCTACTTGTTCATTCTGTGTTTGTTCCAGAGCAACTGCTGCCCTGTATCCATCCCTCTGCCTTACATATGGGTTGTGGAAGAAGCCATGCCTCTTTTCACTGATGGTCAGCACTGCTGGGGAAAAAGACGCACATGACTCAAGCACTGCTCAATAGGGGTTTATGTGTAGCTGTTATTGTCATTAATCAGAGTTCCCCTCACCTACTCTGAAAACAAAGCAAGCCCTGCTACCATAATAAACTTTTTTTTTTTTTTCTTTTCTCATAATTACAGTTACACTTGTCTCCATCTCAAAGACTTAGGGAAATGAAGTGATTCAGTGCCATCCAGTGTGGGGAATGGGTTTCAAACATGAGTTTCCACCTTGGCAGCTGCTCTGCTCCTTGACATACTCCCACCGAACACAACCAAAAGGACTTCTGCAGTCACTTCAACCTCCCCACTAGCAACTTCCTCTTACCTGGGCAGGGAAATACTATTTCCTTTCTCTCTCTCTTTCCCATTAATACAGCTGAATGCTAAAACTGACAACAGTTCACTGAGACTCTAAGTTAGGAAAAAAACTACAAGACAACAAAAAGGGTTATTTGAAAAGCAGCACACTGCTTGTTACACTGACAGCTTCAAAGCATGCAGCTGTAACTGGAAATACTCTGCAAAACGTGTCTATAATAAGTCCCTGTTACAGCACTGATTTCAAGCTCACGGTTGCTATTTCTATGCCTTCCTTTTGAATAAAACAGTGAAAATCAAAAATAAGTTTCAAGCAGAATAGAGAAAACACCGAATTTTTTATTATTTAAGCTCCACTTAATATATCAGACACAAATGCCAGAATTTGCTAACTTAGGCCTTTTCTTTTCCTTAGAGAAAATGCACATATTGTGAAATTTGTAAGGTTCCAGACCCTTTGAATATATGTAAATACCAATTTCACATAAAATTCTCAGTGTTGTGTATATCACCTTTCTGAGTTTTACTAGAAAAATCTGGTCACTTCTGTACCTGTCACCACGAATCTGCCTGCGTACCTATAACGGACATGCTTCTGTCACAGCTTTGGTAAAAGCAACTTCACTGGGAGGTCATGGGTATTGAAACAGCAAATAAAATGCTTCTGGGTAGTCAGACAGGTGCATTAAGCACTGCTGAGGATGACTTTGGTTTCCTGCTCCACAAACAGCCACTGAGTCTGTTGTGATTCTTCATGTTAAAAACTAAAGCTGCTCTGATTCACTAGTCCCTGGGATGCTGGAGGAGGCATGTTTTATGACTTCCAGTGGGTAAAACCCAGATTGTGTGGGACATATTATTTCTTTTGGTATCTAACAGTTGATTTCTTTGTCTCCCCTTTTCTTTCACCTTTTCCTGAGGTGCCAATACAATCAGAGAGCACTGGGAGACAGGGGTCTAACAAAACACAAGCTAGTGTGAACACATTAAGACCATGAGAGCTGGTAGCACTAAGGTACCTAAAAGAATAGTGCAGTGAGTGCTAAAAATCAGCACTAGCTCACTGCTGAAAGGTAGTCTACATCTCTGTGGGCACAAAACTTCTTGGGAAAGATGAGAGTATTCCAGTTAATGGCAGAGTATAGTGAGAAATGGGTCAGAATCACAGTGCTGTCCTGCACCTGAAATCTTAGTGGTAATGTCAGGGGCACAACTTGCCATTGAAACCCTGGCATAAGGACATCACTGCAAATGAGAATCCTAATAAAAAGCTTCAGACATATCTTCCCCAATAAACTGAATTGTTCTTTTAATTTTATAGCACGCAATTCTCTTTTAAGAGGTGAATGATTTGATGACACCAAAATAACCTGTGTGGAGTTCAGTATTCTAGACAGGAAGTTAGTGAAAAAAAATCTAAGCTGCTATGAGCCGATAAAATAAATGACCTGAATTCTAACCAAGGGAGAGGGAGAGAAATGAGGAGTTTAGGTAAGTTCCCCTCTGTCTATTGACACAGCAGTCACTGATGTAATTTTGAAATATTTAACGTGATTACTGCTTCAGAGGCCTGGAGTCAGATTCTCATTTTCTCTACCAGCAACTTGGCTTTAAACTGCTTCTAACTAATCTTAAATGTAATTTGCATGTTAAGTCACACTTACATTACAAAAACAGTCTAAGTGTAAATGGGTCCTACCCTACATGAACATCCTTTGGTACATTGTAGCATGAAAACAATTAATTTAATTGGGATTAGTTACATATTTTAATGTCTTGATCTCTGTGATAATCCTCTTTTAAGATCTCTTATCTCAGTAAAATGAATACAACAAAAAAGAAACTTTCCCCAAGTTGTGAAAACTAAGACCATTATGTGTTAGGGGCATCTAAAGGACTGAAGCATTAGCAGCTGTACATAATTTTGTGATCAGCAGGCAGCTGTAAATAGATCTTCATTCAAGCCTTCCAAGCAGCAGCTCTTCAGCTGGACAAGGTAGAAAATATTTCTAACTTTTCAAAAATACATTTAAGCCATTAGGAGATTTCTAAATAATTAACCATTAACAAATACTTCTAAACACTTTACTGCTAATTAGCATAAAAGGTAGCTGAAGTTTTCCCAACGCCATGACTAGAAACTCACTATTTTCCTGCACAGTAATTGCAGAATTGATACTAAATAGCTCCTTGCAGGCAGGTAAATTAAGTTGCTGTTTATTTTGGTTTAGGCTGCTTATGGACTTCAAAATATTACAAAGACTACTGACATAGTCTAAAAGTTTTGACTTTAGGATGAGGTACCCGTTATGGTTCGATCATGCTCAGCCTCAGCTACAAAGAGCAGTTACCTGAGAAGCTACTGATTAGGGCTGACTGGTCCCAGTAGAGTTTCCCCTCAACTAGCTAGACTTCATTTGTTTTAGCACACGGTGATGTCTGTTTGTGCCAGGCAGCTTGAACTTTTATAGTGGTGTCTGAGGTGCTCTGCAAGTGTCCCTGCCTGGGACAGGGTGCTGGTGCTGACCTTGCTCCTGCTGGGCAGGAGCGTGTTTTACCAAGCATATCTTCTAGGAACAACTTGGTGGCAGACAGGACAGTGACCCTAGTGTGAGGATTTGGGTTAAACACAGAGGTCTAGCAGTAGTATGACCTTTGAATGTCAGCAGAGGAGCTGGCAGAGGTGCTGCAGCTGCCATTGGAGGGTTAAAGTCAGAGCGCTGCTGCTCAGGCGAAGCTGCCAAGCTGCCATCTCATCAGGACATCGCCTCAACGGCATCAGCACAGGCTTAGGGCTTGATTGAAGATGTTGCTGCTTTCAATATGCTTCCTGTCCACACTAACACCTCATGGACTTTTTTACTCAGGAACAAAGACAGAGGGGCTTAACCCTTCTGCAGTGTGAATATTGGAAGCTGTATCACAGATTACATGCTGTAATAGACACCTGGCTAAATCCCTACAGGAGATTATAACTTGCATTTTCAAACTGGTGAAGGCTGCTGGGGTCAAGCAGGACAAGATTTTAAGAAGGAGCAAAATAAATTTTCAAGAAACGAGTCACGGCAACCGATTTTTATACTGCTGCCTCAAGGCAGTTAGCTCAGATGCACAAGACAAGAAATAAACAGCCTGACTCACGTTCGGAGTGAAGTTGTGCAGTAAATTACTACATTCAAATCACAGTTTTGGAAATATAATAATAGAGCACTTCTGTTTTCCTTTCCAAGAGACCATTACAAGTAGTTTGCTTGGTACTGTGTTGTAACTTGTAGATGACTAATTAGACAGTAATAGCTAATAGCAGCAAGTGCCCTAATGCTTATATTTTGCATGTGGTTTCTAACAAGGAATTACTTGTTTACCATGACAGAGCCAGATTATGAAACCGTTAATTGGGAGACAGTACACATTAGGCCTTGTTCTAAGGGCAAACAGA